CTTTCATTGTTAATATTGTGGTCTTTTTGTCCCCACTATCTATATATTATGAGAATTCTAAATTTTGCATTATACAATATAATTAATACTCCATTATGCTTTTATCACTTATACTAGAGGCCCGATGCATGAAATTCATGCAAGGGGCTCAGCCCTCGCAGCCCCTAGCAGTCCTGGCTTCCCCTGGAAGGTCTTCCAGACCTTTGTTTTGCTATTCGGTCTAATTAGCATATTAGCTCGATAAAAAAGGACTATCTCTTTTTACTGATTTTGGTTTTGTTAATAGACTATGAATTTGACAAGTACATTTTTAAGTGTGTAGGTTTTGATTCTCTTCTGCAATGAGAGGTGTATCAGAATTATTGATAGATAAAATTGATATTTAGCTAAAAATTATTTTAAGCAGTAACTTCAAAAATTTTATTCAAAAGGAACCCTAGTGACGCTCCAGTCAATTCCTTTATTTTTTTTTTAAATATTTTATTGATTTTTCACAGAGAGGAAGGGAGAGAGACAGAGAGCCAGAAACATCGATGAGAGAGAAACATCCATCAGCTGCCTCCTGCACATCTCCCACTGGGGATGTGCCCGCAACCCAGGCACACGCCCCTGACCGGAATCGAACCTGAGACCCCTCGGTCCGCAGGCCGACGCTCCATCCACTGAGCCAAACCGGTTTCGGCCAATTCCTTTATTTTTGCACAAGAGCCACACTGGAGCCTAATGAATCCATTATTTGTCTAAACTTGCCAGCTAGTTAGTTGCAAAGCAGGAGCATGAAAATTGGTTTCCTGTGGCCAGGCAAGAGCTGTTCCCATTACAGCCCACCGTTTCCTACCCCCTTACTTCCCAGTCACTTATACTTTTACAGTAATTTAAAACTTGAAACCAAATGGGCTTATTCTAAATCTCACCTTCACTTCATGTTTCTTCACACCTTGTAAGCTAATCTTTTGAAGTGGAGTAGCCAAGAAAAATTGGATGGAAAAAAAAAGTGAAAAGGAACAGGTTATAAATAGCAGATCAAATTGTAAAGTTGATTTCGACTTTTATAACTAAGAACTGTCTTCAATAGTTTGTCCCCTTTTACGTACACTTTCACATAAAATGTGAATTTGTTATTTATGCTCAGAAATGTTCTTAAATACAGGGTGGGGGTGATATCTGACCCATGCATATGCTGGATGTGACTCCTTACATTGAACCCAGGCCTAAATTAAAGCTTGAGTTCCCCTTGGATTATATTTCGGTTGAAAGTTGGATTATATTCCTTTTGCTTTCTTTCTTGTCTTTCATTGTTGCTTCTTCCCATGAGAATTCTAAAATTGTCTCTCAAAGGGATAATACGGAGCTATGGGAAGAACATCCTTATCATTATGATAATAACCTCTCAATCCGTGTCTTTACAACCTGGTGTTGAAGTGAATTTGGAGAGTCATGTCTAGCATTTGTATTAAGAAAATTATATAGTAGAAAGAAAATATCAGATTGCCTCAGTGGTAGTAGTGTTCAATATCTTTTCTACTAAACTTTTGTTCCTGTGTGTGTGTGTGTGTGTGTGTGTGTGTGTGTAAGCATGTTTGCATGTGTGCACTGGGCTATATGTGAAGAAACCTATGGATTAACTTTAGGTGTTGTGGTCAGAAAACTGATCACAAAGTTAGAGTTTGGCCACAAGTATGTTCATGAAAATGTCTCTGAACTTTCTTACAACGCTTTGTTCAAAACAGACCCTAAGACACTATAAGTAAAATCCAGAGACCTAGTCACACATTCTCACTGTCTAACAGTTCGAAGGTGATGATCAGAAGTACCTGGCAGCAGTGTTGCCCCTGAGAGTGTGGGCACATTGAATATGGAAACTGCATGGTGCACCCAGCTATGGAACTATGTGGGAGTCAAAGAGAGTGGGTGTTATGCAAACCACTGAATTCCCTCATCTCAGGGATCCTTCAAGCATCCTCTTAGTGTCAGACTTAAAACATCATGAATAAGGACAATACAGTTTCTCCAAGTGTTGTCTTTTCTTCCCTGAGCTAAAACAAGTTTGTTCCATGAATAAAAAAGGCATGTGGCAAAAGTTACATATTTTTAAGAACATATTTCCACTCTTGTAAAACTTCTTTATTGTTCACTTGCTCTGTGTGTCTCTCTCTCTCTGAATATTATATATTCACTAGAGGCCCGATGCACGAAATTCGTGCAAGAGTAGGCCTTCCTTCCCCCAGCTGCTAGCACCGGCTTCCCTCTGACACCTGGGACCTGGGCTTCCCTCACAGCCCTGGCTTCATAGGGAAGGTCGTCGGTATAATTAGCATATTATGCTTTTTTATTATTATAGATTTCCAGTTGGCCTTGTTGAACTAATTTGAAGAAGGGGTGTTACCCTTTTATCTTAAAAACACAAGTCACTGTGTTCATTGCACCCAATCCTTTGCCATACAACTCTTTGCTTTTCTCATATAGTATGTTTTATTTTTATTTTATTTATTGATTTGAGAGAGAGAGATTGATTATTTTCCAGTTATTTTTTCACTCATTGGGTGTTTCTTGTATGTGGCCCGACTGGGGAGGGAACCTACAACTTTGGTGTATCTGGATGATTCTCTGATCAGCTCAACTACTGGACCAGGGCAGTACATTTCTTTTTAACGTCCACCTTTTCTTTTGTCATTAGCACTCCCTGTCTCATCATTTTCTAACTTAACATTACTGCTGTGTGGGAGAGGGGATCATCTGTTAACGTGCTTCCTGTTGGGCATGTTGGACAGTTAAAAATATATGTAATGAAATTCTATTTAGAGAAGTGTCACCATTCTCTCTCTCAAAATTATACCTCTCATTTCCCCAGATTGCTATGCTTTATATTTTTCTCAGTAGGATCTTATGCTACCTCTTGTCCCTAAATGAGTTTTCCTCTAGATGCTTGCACAGATGTGAACAGTAAAAATGAGTACTTTGTCGCTTTCCCTTTTGCCGCCTCCTTCTGAAATGACGGTTACACGCTCCTGGTTGGAAGGCCGGAATAGCAATACCTTTGAGTGTTTCTCCCCTAGGAGTTTTCTTCATTTCATTCTGTGGAAGTCTAGAGAGACAGATGTCCTCTAATGACCTGGCCACCTGCACTGTCTCTGCCAGCGGCTCCCACGCCCTCCTCCCTCACACAGACAGCCCGTTACGCTGCCCGTGCTGCGGAGCGCCCCTCTGCTGGGGTCTAGAATGCCCCTGGCACCATACAGAGGCAGCAGCCGTGCCCTCAGTTAGCTGCACGTCTCACATTCATCACAGGCCGTATTTTCATGTGGAGCTGGTCTCAGGTATCCCATGAAACAACTGAAATGCATCTTCCTACCCACAGTACACTTCCCCTGCCTGTCCCTACTTCTGTCCCCATCTTCCGTCTTTAGGCCTCTCCTGCGTGTCCGCCCCCTAAATCCCTGAGGCTCTATGTCAGTGGCTGGCATGGCACCAGTGTTTTCTAATCCACTTTCTCTCTTCAGACTCCTCTCCAGACCTGAGAGGAATCTGGGATAACCCAGTAATGGGTCAGTGTGGTGTTCTTTTCTGGTATCATATTTGCACTTTACGAAGATTGTTCTGGAGATAGAATATTGGTGGGAATTTGAGTAGTCTGGTGGTACAGGAGGGAAGTTTTGAATGTATCTGTCTTCCATCTTTCTTTTTTTTCCTTCTTTCTTTTTTTAATGGATTCCACAAGTATTTTTCTGGGATCCTCAAGGAATCCCATGTGAATGTCTACTATTCCTCCTATGCTTAGGACCAGGGTCCTATGTATTTATAAACTAATAGAATTATTTTCTTCTTATATTTGGAGTGAGGGGGGGAAATTTGTCAATTTAGATAAGTAACTAGTTTGATTTTTAAAAAGTAAACAGCAGCCCTAGCTGGTGTGGCTCAGTTGGTTGAAGTGTCATCCTGTACACCAAAAGGTGGGGCCATCAATTCCTGTTCAGGGCACATACCCAGGTTGTGGGTTTAGTCCCTGGTCGAGGTACATGTGGAAGGCAACCAGTCAATATTTCTCTCTCTCTCTCTCCTTTCCTCTTTTTAATTTTTTGAAAAGTTAAAAAAAATAAACAGCAAATTTAACTTGGTTCTTGTGATTAATCATGACACACAGCATTTATTCAGTGCTTATTATAAACTAGATACTTTACTAGTATTACTTAATATTCAAACAACCATGTGAGGTAGGTCATATTATTATGCCCATATATGGAATGAGTAAACCAAGACCTTAGCGGTTAATTGCTTGATTCATGTGGCTAAGAATGATTAGGTCAGGTGTTGACATAGATAATCAGTCAAACTATTATATTCAGTAACATCAATCAAGTCAGTTTAAGATGGATGCACACGATCTTTCCTTAGTTCACAGGTGCGTACCAGCTTTAAAAACGAGTGCTAACCAGGGAGAGCCTGACTTTATTCCTGAGTGGTACAGAATTTCGATTTCTCCTTTCTCTGTCTCTTTCTTTCTTGACTATTAGTGATATGGAATGCCAATTTCTCTTTCCTTCTTCACTTCCTTCCTTTCTCCCTTTTTTTGGCTAAACTATGAGAGGCTGACAAACACTCTGTTGTCTGTGCAGTTTGAATTTTATACCCAAAGTCAAATACAGGCATACCTCAGAGATATTGTGGGTTTGGTTCCAGACCATCACAATAAAGTGAGTCATCCTTTTGCTAGCGGAAGATCTTGCCTTTATTTTATAAAAAGTGCAACATCTGTGATGTGCAATAAAGCAACCGGTGATAAAATGAGGCATGCCTGTAGAATCATTTTAGTTACAGTCTGCCTTAATTCCACAAGTCTCTGTTAATTTCACCGAAAAGTACAAAGACACGAGGAATAGAAAGAAACATGTGAAATTGTGCCCTCCAGGAGATCACCCGGAGGCCCATGAAAGAAGGAAAGGGTTATATGTAGGACACGGTGCACGCTGTAAAGATCTGTGTGTCTCCTGTCTTTGCCACAGGTACCATTTCTGTCAACACTCTGCGCACACCCTACACTGCCCCCGGGGAGAGTGAGATTCTGGACCTGGACGATGAGTTGTACCTGGGGGGCCTCCCAGAAAATAAAGCCGGCCTCGTCTTCCCCACCGAGGTGTGGACTGCCCTGCTCAACTATGGCTACGTGGGCTGCATCAGGGATCTGTTCATCGACGGCCAGAGCAAAGACATCCGGCAAATGGCTGAAGTGCAGAGCACCGCTGGAGTGAAGCCCTCCTGCTCCAGGGAAACAGCAAAACCGTGCCTTAGCAACCCTTGCAAAAACAACGGCATGTGCCGGGATGGGTGGAACCGATACGTCTGCGATTGCTCCGGAACAGGCTACCTGGGCAGGTCCTGCGAGAGAGGTAGGATTCCCAAAACCAAGCCGCTGAACTCCCCTGAGATGAGAAGCTTCTTACACACTGACCTTAAACTTTAAATTGACCGTGGACACCTAAGGTGTGCTCTGCTGAAGTGAGCTCCCCGCAAGCTGGGCAGTTACTCCTGACAGGTTCTTGATGTGTCCTTAGTGATCTTCAAAGGACCCGATTCGGGAAGACACAGCTTTTTAAGGATATTGCAGGAATACATACTAGTATGTGGGTATTTTGTATCCTAGGGTATGAGCCTAAGCAGTATAGTAGACAATAACTGCTTTCTCTTTTGCCCAGTTTTTAAATTTCAGGACCCTAGAAAGTAAAGGCATGAATTAGACACATTTATGGAATCCAGGGCTAATATCTATCCCCTCAAATATACTAGTAGCATTAGAAGCAGGCTAAGCAGGAGGTTGCAACTTCCCTGACACGATTGCAGGAGAATCAGGTTAGCCTGCTCATTTCACTTCAGTCACCTTACCCACGTTTGACATTTGAAAAGTGAGCTGACTTTGCATCACCCCAGTTACACCAGCGTTTTCAGAAGTGCGCCCCAATTTCAAAGGCACTTGCTTACCATTGCCCCAGACCTAACTGGTCACAGAAGATTCATTGCCTATTCGATATGAAATGAAGGCTTTGTGTGTCTGTTGAAGCTCTGAGCAGGCACCTCCATTTCCTTCTCTGTTAGGAGACTGAGCTGCATTCCTTCTTCCTTTCCTCTCGATTTAGAAGGAGAAGAATAAGGGTTAAAGGAAGGGTGAAGGGTAAAGGCTGTCACAGTTCATCTGCAGACGGAGCTAAAGAGAGAAATAGCAGAACCAGTAGGTCTCAGCATGTACCTCTATCGATCTAAGAGTTTCAGATAAATGCTTTAGTCGCTACTCCCATTGCCACTCATTTTCAACAATGGAACAAAAAAATCGATATGAAGAAATATTGATGAGTTTTTCCATTGTGCTCTCACACTCTACATAACATCGCTGTTAGCCATTAACCTCAAAGTAACCGGCATCTATTTTTTCTTCCCTTCATTTCTACAACAGTTTAATACAACATTAACACTTTCTAGAGACAAAGTGGTGATTTTCTAGAATCCCAAGTTGAAATGTGACTTTAGTTCTTGATCTGAATAAGGAGGTTTGTCATTTCATCAGCTCTATTATTAACATTAATCAATATGAAAAATAATAAGAATAAATCCAATACTCACCTTAAATTACCTAACAAAATACTATCTCTGTTCTGTTATACAATTAGATGGGTCAATAGATGGGTAAATATTTTAATAACATTGATGCATTCATTCTCCTAATTGCAATGGCTGTGAATTGTCATTAGGAGTTAGATATTTCTATGCAGTTTTCATTTGCAAGGTGCATGTGGTCTCTGTAAGTTTTCTCTTCTCATTTTCCCTTCTAATCTCAGTTTGTTTGTGTAGTTTGGTTTTTAGAAATTGCCAAAGGGACTAACAGTAACAACAAAGAGACAAAGCTCACGAGATGTGTTACAATTAGTCATAACGTGAGATGAGCAGACCTGTATGATTGAAGATTTTGTTTTTATTTTAATCACCCAGAGAGCTATCTGATTTCTGATGCCTCCAGCTTAAGTGAAACTAGAACAGGATATAGCTGCACCCTCACAGGAGTTGCAGAAGCCTTCAGTTAAATATGCATGGTGCACCACCCTGTGGCAGTGCCCCGCTACTACACATGGCAGAAGTAAAAATAGAAATTGTAGAGCTTCCTGAGCCAGAATGAGGGAAAGGGAATATTTATATATTGCAATAATTAGAAGGAGGGTGGCAAGCATATGCAGATTTGCAAATGAGAATTTAATAGCAAGCTTCATCACTGGGATTCGACATACATTTTTATCTGACAGATGGCTGGAAATTTCCACAGATTTCTTTGTCTCTGGGTTGGTTGTGTGTGGAGGAGGAAATGGTCGTTTTGTGTGTATTTTTTGTTTCTGGACTACCCGGCATATTGTGAGTAGTCTTTGATTTTCAGAGTTAATTTTCTTGTTCATATTCCGGCATCGCCTGCGAGCAGGGTGATGTGGGTGGGATGCTGTCATGCTCAATACCACAACGTCTGGCTTCCGCCCAGTGCCCAGCTTTGCCCTAGTTCAGTCAACACAAGATCATGCCCAACCCTTGGGGTTTCCTATTCAAAATAAAGGGATTTTTCTCTTTACACTCTAATCACATACGATTGTTGAGCACATAAGAGTTGATTGACAACTCTTGAAGTGAATAAAAATAAAGGCACTTAAAAAGTTTCCATTTTACTATTATTGAGAAATAGTTACTAACATATAAAGATAATTATTCAAAGTAATTAAAAAGCATGTTCAAGTCCATGGACAATTCAGCATGGGGAGTGGAGCTGTAATCCCATTATAGAAAATCTTCATTCTGCATTAAGTAAGCAAAGGCGTTTATAAGAAAGAACAGAATATTTGCTGACGTAGGAAAATAGTATTTTTTCCATGTATATTGATCCCATAAGGAGGAGTAATATAGAAATAATGTTCAGTAGAATATGAATTAAATGCAGCACCTGCCCTCCCACTTTATTTTTTTTAAATAAAACTGGGAATTTGTAGAGATTCGCTCATATAGAAGTTATTTTGGGTCGTATGTATATGGTATAATCAGAGGTCTACTTTATACTTGTTTGTTAAAATTCTAACAGATGGAGGGACAGATGTCAGAGCAATATAATTTGGCTCCCTGTCTGATTTTCATAGTTGATCACAATATGTGACTGCCTCTCGGCAAAACTGAGCGCAGGTGTACACTTTAGACAGCGAGAAGGAATAACACAGAAGAGCAAATTTATCAAACTTAAGGACAAAGGAAAAGGAGATCTAAGAGACAAAGTGGAAACTTTTCTGCCCCCACCGGGAATTATTGCCTTGGAATTGGCCATTTAAAGGACTCTTTTGTATTCTAAGTGATAAAATAATTTTACTGATGTTAAAAGATGCTGCCAAACAGCATAACCTTCAAATGTCAGAATGTTGTTTACCATTTATTTGGCAACTCTAGGCTACAGCCTTGTGCATTTTTTATTTCTTGTCTAATTAAAAATTAATTCCAATTATGAGAAATCACTTAGGCATTCATTTGTCGTTTATCAACAGGTTATTTTCACATTGAGAATGGTTTAAAATGACAATCAGGGGCTCTCAAGTTTTATTATTTTACTCTGTTATTTCATTCCTGCTGCTTTTTGGAGAATGGTAAAGGCTAATGATCCTAATTATTTTTCCTACTTTGGGTTGGATTTCAGTCTGTATTTATGATCCACTGCCAGACCTCTGTATTTCTAAAAGGATGTTCTCTACTTAGCTTTTAATCAAATTAAGCTACATGGCTGTGAATTGTCATCAGGGGTTAGATATTTCTGCACAGTTTTCACTTGAGATCATTTAAAATACGAGTATTGAGTAATAGAGACTGATTTATAGACTGAATAACCAGGCGAAAACTAAAAATATTTTTGTATTTTTATCTGTATGATACCACAGTAACTGAACAATTGATAATGGCTTTTAAACTTGTATTCACATATTGTTTTATAGACATGGACACTGATTGGCTGTAGTTCAGGATAAGAAATAGTAAAGATCAAATTTCTCTAAGGATTATACTAGAAACACTTTTTCTGTTGTTGTTTTATAGAGTTTACTGCAACTTTGCAATCATGTTTTAATTATTTTTGGAGCAAGTTCTCCTAGATTTTTCAGCACTGAACTCCATGTTTTGCAATATTGCATCTGTCTGGGAAACTTCTTCTCTAATTGGAAAATGATCTGATAACGAACCACTATATTTTAAAGGATTGTATTATTTTCTCAGTGCTTAGGTCAGTGACTAGCCATGGGACCCCTACTTCGGGCAATAGACCCCTTTCCTAGTCTATCTTTTGCAGCACAATTATAAACTTCAAAGTAAACTTTAGTATTTTGTTCATATTTATTACCAAAATTAGATTCCACTTATAATAGGCAGAATAAATACTTAATTTTTTTAGTGAGCATATATGTAAGCTTGGTAACCAGACTGAAGGACGTTCTTTCGTGTACCCTCAGTATTGAGTGCAATCATTCATTCAGTCCGTGTTCGTTGAGCCTCTGCTGTGTGCCTAGCACTTTGGGGCACTGAGCTGCTGATGGAATAATGAATAGGAGCATCTAACCTCTGTCCTCACCACACTCAGCACTTAGATTTTATAGGGCAAGGACAGCTAATGCTATATACACAAAAAAGAAAGGGTAATTAAAAACTCGAGTGGTAAGTAGATATAGAATAACTGGGGGAAAGATTAAAGGAGTGCTTGCAGCATATCTCTCTGAAGTAACATTTGACCAGAGACAGGGATGCTGAAGGAACCAGCCATATAAAGTCTGGGGTGAAGCCTGCTAGGACAAAGTGCAAATACTTCAAATACTTGAGAGATGAAATCAGTGTGTCTGGGTTTTACTAAACTAATGTGTGTGTGTGTGTGTGTGTGTTGGGGCGGGGGGGTTGATGCTAAAAAAAATGAGGCCAGAGAGACAGACTAGGCCCAGATCACAGAAAAAGGTTAGAAAAATGAGTACAGCTTTTATTATAATTGCAGTAGAAATCTATCAGTGGGGTTGGGGGAGGTGAGGGATTGTTTAAGCAATAAAGTGATAGAATCTGATTTACTTCTTTAAAAGTTTAGCTTGGCTGCTGTGTGCAGGGAGGAACAATCAAAGTGAGGAGACTTTTGAGGGAGCTTTATAGTGGTCCAGGTGAGAGACTGCAGCAGAGTCTGAGGGACTTTGGTGGTAAGAGTAAGCAAATGACTCCGGAAATGAATTGGAATTAGTGCCTTCAAGCATTGCAGACTTGCAAATAGATTGGACATGAGGAAGGTGAGAGAGAAATCAGAAAGGCAAAGGTCTGAGTAATGGGTTATATCATTTACCGAGATGGAGAACACTGGAGAAGGACATGATGGGTGTTCATTGTTGGGGCGGAGGGAGTGGCAAAGAGTGTAGTAAGGTACCTATCATATTCAATTTGGAGATGTTCAATAGGCAATGGATGAATGATGAGTAATGGAGCTCAAGAGAGAAGTCAGGACCGTTAATAAAGATGAGGGGGAGTGAGCACATGCATTGAGAGAGATCCTTTGTCATGAGGTGGGCAGAAAAGAGGGCCAGGCAGGGACCCTGGGACCTTCATGCTTATCCGTTCTGGATGTGCCTTCAGTCTCATGATGGCAACAACTGATGATCACAGGATGTTAGAAGGAACGCTTGACTTTGCTGACTTCTTGAAAAATAAACTTGCAAAACCACAACTCCAGAAATACCGTCTTCACAATAAACACAGTTGCATTAGTAAACTTAATTGTTGTGTCATGTACCTGGGCAGGATCATGAGCATTTCCTAGTTTGTTTTAAATCCAGGTAGTTTTTCTTTTATTAGATGATCGTCTTGAGTTTTGAGAACCAATGAAAGAGCAGCATGACTCACACTTGTTTCGCAATATTCTGCCACCACATACAGTGTTTAACACTCAGGGGTGCTGACGATTTCTTAAAGCAGTCAGTTTGTGACCCACGGTTTTTGCTGTTTGCTTTTTTATGTGTTTAACACTGTATGAAGCAGCTTCCCTAAGAAAGCAATCCACTTTCGTTTTAGTGGCCCTCACCCACACATGCTCTTCAATCCCACCTGCCATCTCTAGGAAGTACATCGTTGTTGACGTTTTAGTGATAGCTTCATATTTTCAGGATACCAAGGTTGTGGCCACAGGTAGTTTTAAGTTCTAATTCAGTGCCCTTAGAATCAGGAACTTTTAAGGAGAGCAAAGGCCTTAAAATCCTGTTCCTCTCAGAGCCTAGGCGGGTTTTACAGGGCTGGTCAGTGGCCTCAGTGGCCGAGCCATGTATAAATATTCATTAAATAGTTGCCCGAGCTTCCAACCAGGCTCACACTGCAGATACACAGCAGAATCGATCTCTGCTCTTGGAAAGAGAGACACATACGACCAACACGATCAATGCTATAGGTGGAAAGTGCTATGGGAATGAAAAGGAAAGTGCAGCCATATTTCCCCCTGGGTTTTAGCAGGTACTTCACTGAGAACGGTCTCCCTACTGTGACCCCTCTGTTCAGCTTAACAAAGAATTGCTCATTTCTGAAGCGGACTAGCTGAGCTTGTAGTCTTGTGTTCTATCTGGAAGACTTTAGTAGGTCACTCCTTTCCTTTTCCAAGTCTGAATGCCCTAACGGACCAAGAATGTTTAAATTCATTTCTCACCTACAGAGGCAACGGTTCTGAGCTACGACGGGAGTATGTTTATGAAGATCCAGCTCCCCGTGGTCATGCACACAGAGGCTGAGGACGTGTCCTTACGGTTTCGATCCCAGCGTGCATATGGCATTCTCATGGCAACCACCTCCAGGGACTCGGCAGACACCCTCCGCCTGGAGCTGGACGCAGGGCGTGTGAAACTGACGGTCAACCTAGGTAACAACTCACCTTCCCCACTGAACTAACACCTTTCACTTTTTGTTCCGTTCTGCCTGCCAACATTTATCCAGTAGCCTGTTTGCCATGGAAAGTTAAAACACTTAATGGTCTCATTTCCATCATTTAATTTAATTTAGGTTTTGGGGGCATCTTTTTATTGTTTTTTGTTGTTGTTATTATTGTTGTTTGTTTACCATAATTTACTGTCTTGTGGTTCCTACCACTGAGGGTTCTTGAAAGGGAAGCCATCCATATCAATGAGGTTAATTGAAAATATAAATCATTAGGCTTGCAGAGGCCTCAAATCGAATTTCCTATTATCATATTTACTGGCATTCTGATTGGCTATAGATGATATCCTTTCAGATATATCTACTGAGACAACATATGCACCAAATATCAAATTTCCACTTTGTGATCTAGGTCAACAGTAGTTTTTCTTCTATTCCATGGGCTTCTCCTTTCAATAGTCACCTTTGTGGTAGCTCATCTTTTCTGTTTGGAAATTCTGTGTGGTGATATTCTGCTATCAAACAGCAATCCACAACCCTTCAATGCCCAAAGTCTGCGGCCCTCAGCAAACAGCCACGAGAACACTAAAAGCACAGGCTCTTCTTCAGAAAAATAATGCTTTCCTGCTTCATTATAGAGTTAGGCAAGAGTCGCTACAGTAAAACCTCAACAACCCAGATGAAACATGGGGGAAGGCCAGGCCGAATTAAGAAAATATCTGAATTGTAGAATTAGCAAAAATTAAACAGTTTGATTTTCAGTTGCATTCGAAACACAAATTAATAGCTGAAAAAAAAATCCTGTTAAGGAAAGGTGTTACTAGGCTGGCTTTAATGGATGGATAAGAATTATCCATAATTAGCACATTGTTTCATGCAGGTTGGGCCATCAATACATAGTAAAGTAGTTGAAATCAGCTTTCTCCCTAAACTTGACCTTTCAAAATTTGTTTGTTTAATTCTTTTCAGGTGGTCTATAGTCAGACTGAATGAAGAATTATAAATAATCTGCCCAATAATTTTCAATATTATCATTAACTCCAAGAGGAGCACACATTAATGAGGTTTTACTGTATTACCTGGAAGCAGCAATAAACACCCATAAAACTTAATAAACAGAGAAAATAAATAAGCAGAGAAAAATGTGAAACTATGTAGATTAAAATAAAAAGTAGGAAATGTGAGGAAGTAAGGCATTTATAGAAACCCCACCTACATTTTCTAATTGTGCTCAGCAGAATGATAGCTCATAAAATATATAATTGTTTCATTACATTCAATTAGTATTAGTTAAATTAAGTTAGATAATAAGGGTGTTTTTCAAAGATCACTGAAGAATACACAGGACTCATTTTCTGTTCTTTTAGAGTTCCCTCTAGTGACCATGATAGGTTACTACAGCCAATCAAAATAAATTGACTAATTGCAGTAAAGAGGCTGCTAGCCGAAGTGGAAACACTCCTGGACATTTTCCAACAGCAAAGCATTCTGTGGAAAGAGCTGTGTAGATGCTGGTCCTTGGCTGTTTGCAACCACTTTTCTGATGCGGTTGACGACACATGACAAACTCAGCTACATGGAAACAGAATCTAGGTTTATCTTTTTCCTGTTCCCCAAAGGCATTAAATTCTACGACCAAAATTGACAAATATTTACCTATACATGAAATAAGCATAAAACACCCCACATAGTCCTTTAAAGATAACCCTTGTAACCACAGTCTGTGTTACTCAGATCAGACACCCTGTCCTTAAAGAACCTGCTCTTCCATAAGAAGCAAGTAGAAGAAAGGGAAAATCAATAGCAGCAGCAACCATGACACTTATTGCATAAAGATGGCATTGTTAGCTCCTAAGAGAGGCATAGGCTGAGGAATGTTCTGAGCAATGACACTACTTCTTAGCCACTAGAATTTCTAAAAGAAACATAGTGTTTCTTTCCTCCACTGATTAATACAAGGCGTGGAATCCAGCCAACTTCGGGCTGTGACCTCTTTGTCCAAGCAAAACCAAAATAAGACATTAGGGTGAGGTGAGAATAATTGCCACTTGCTCTCCATGGACCACCCCGATCCTGAAAGATTCCGATGGCCTTTGTGGGATACTAGCTTTTGGAGGTCCAAGATGTCTGAGCTTCGCTGAGCTTGCACCTGCACCCCGTCGTGACGGAGCACTTTTTAATTACGCTGAAAACAAGGATCTGTTCTTTCACAGATGGGGAGGAAGTCGCAGCCAGTCCAAGTCAAGCATCTTTGACAGTTGACAATTCTTTATTCCACTTAGATTTGTCACCATGTAGCTTTGTTTGAATTGGCCATTTTTCAAACCTTCCGATGTTGTTTCCAATGGCGAAGTTTTATAACGATGAATCTGGGTTCTAGAAATACGTAAAGTTATGGAGTGGCCATATTTGCATGTGTCTGTCCCCGGAAGGGTGGACTGTGATTTTATTGGATGTCTGCAGCTATTACCTTGAAGGATAAATTTTCATTTTTCATCTATTCTTCCCCATCTAGATTGTATCAGGATTAACTGTAATTCCAGTAAGTGCCTATTCAAAATTCTTAAAATGTTATTCCTCCATTATGATGTAAGCTAGTCAAGAAAAAAAAAAGAGCAAGAGAAAGGCATTTATAAAACTCATGAATTCACTTTTGACATATACCAGTCCATCATCTGGGTTGTAAAAATTCATTTTGAAATCTGTCCAGTTGAAGACTTAACAGCTGTAGTCCCTACCGCTAAGGGGCAAAGAGGCGACAAGTGTTTCTTGACATAAGGTACAAACGCCTCTATAGACCTTTGGATAGGTCGAGTAGAATTTGTATTTTGCCAGATCTTGGACTCCAGTAACTCTCTTCTTCATGACCAAATTTGGAGAAAATACTATGGGTCCTATTTCCTTCACTTACTGTTTTTATCTCTTAACGCAAATACAGAAAAACATGTAATTCCTTTCATTTTGAGAGTTAGTATTAAATCTTTCTAAATTCAACCATTTACATAGGAAAATGTGTTTTTTCTAAGTTATAAATATACAGAAAATTACTTGTCTAAAGAAGTTTTTCTTGTTCCTAACGAGTATTTACATGATGAATTTTTACATCCTGATCATGTATCTGCAAAAATAACTAAATCTGTGATATGCATGCCAAATGATTAGTCAGAAAAGATGCATGGACTGAGTTTTATTTGATTGTGGACTAGAGAACCTGAAAGGATATAAGGACTGTGATTTTATTTTGAGTTGTAGTCTTATCTAAAGAGTACATTTACTTCCTTTCTTTACATAAATATTTAGATTTTTCTTTTCCAGGTTTTGCTGACCACATTAAAGAATCTCCTCCAATGTTAACAGAATTGTTAGCTATTTAAATAAATGGTCCTCACAAGCTTCTAATCTCTCATGGTCATAATCAGTAAAAAAAATTGCCTCTATCCTTATAAAGTGCTGAATGTGAGTTGATGGAGTCTAAACCCCAAACCACGGGCTGTGTTTCCAAGTGGCGACAAGCTATCCTCTGAGGAACAAATGGTGGTCTTATGCTTACAAATCGATATGCTTTATCTAATGGAATTTTTACAACTTCCAACACTGTGCTTCTTATAACTCAGATTTGCTTCACATACTTTAAGATTCATTTTAAAATAGCAAAAAAGACGGTCTCTGATCGTAGCAAGAAAAAGGTCATGGAATCATGACTTCAGAAAAATTAAATTCATAAACTACCATCTCAAACAGAATAGCTCCTGAAATAATTTGTTAAAACTCTGCAAGTGGAATTTTCAGGCACACCCCATCTCCTCTCACACCCCATCTCTTCTCTGTCATACTCCTGAGCAGGTGCACAGACTTTGCAGCGCGAATCCTGTGGTCCAGTTTGCCTTCAGCTCTGGGGCACAGATGCAGGCCAAGAGGCAACTCACACAGATCTGTGCCTTAAGGCAGCTGGAGATATTTAGATTCTTCCCGAATCTTAGGAAATCCATGTGAGAAAACATGTTTCTTTTTAGACTTCTGCTTTATGTACTCTTACAATAAAACATGGGTTTTACAATTTATAAATGTAACCACGTAAATGCTAGTGTTTGATGGAAATTAATCCAATGAAATGAACTGTGTTCTTCAGCTACATAAATTAATTTTCAAAACATGTTTATAGTCTAACTACTACATTCATGCATTACCTTCATTTGGCTTATAAGAGTCTGATCTTAAGTATAGTCGTTTTTTCTCTGGATATTACTGAGAATATTATCTTTAAGGATAAAAAACTTTGCTGGTGGGTGGCATTTTCCCCCTTTTAAGAGGTGCTACATTTAAGTTACTTGATTTAAATGAATGACTGTGACACACCTTTCGGTGCACACCTTGTACAGGACTGTAAGTGCCTTAACTTGACAGCAGTCCCAGGAAAGAGCATTCAATGATCAGGTAACGTTTCATTTCCTTTTCCTTTGTTTTATTTGTGGAATCTTGGGCAGGTTTAACAAGAAGCCCAAGTTCTATCAAGAATTCGTGTTATTATTCAACTTTGAGGAGAGGGAGGACATTTTATATCTAATAATGAAAATCTAACTCACAGTGATTAAATAAGCAGAGATTTCCACCGGGAGTGCATTTCCTACCCCATAAAAAATAAAAATATCTGCCTTGCAGTATAACTTGAAGGTTAATGAAAGTTCATGTATGACATTTATGACCTTTGAGTCATAAGTTTGTATGAAACTGAGATGAATGTACGTTGATTAAATCCCAGTCATATACCACCACCGTCTCTAAAATTTATACCAAACATAAGAAGATATCAGCTGTATTATGAAATTAATAGGAAATATCTTAATTGATGTTCTTTAAGAATATTTCCACTGGAAATATATAAACTATAACATAAAAGATTATCTTGCGTTGAGAGTTATTACCAAACTTTAAATGATTAAGTTTGAATGAAAACCTCCCCAAATTTCTCTATACTCACTCAGAATTGCTCTGTTTCCTGTAGTGGCGCCATCCTTCCTCACCTCCATCCTACCCCCACCAACCCCAGTTTACAGCAGATGTTCCTTGATATGCAAAAGAAGTGATGCATAGTACCAGACTGGCCAATCTTTGCTATTGAAGGATAGGCAGTAGGTGAGGGGGGAGAACATCTGGCTGTCAGTATTCAGACCTGTGTGAGGATAAGAGATTGCAGATATGTTTCTTTTTCAGCCCTTCCAGTGTCAGTAGTTTAGATACAACAACAGACTCTTTCATGGACAGGCTTTGGCTAAGGTTCTTTTGGGAAAGGGCAGATTTGAATTCCAAAGACCATCTCTGTCAGATTCTTTGTGGCCAATATTTCCCCCGTAATAGGAGAAGCTGTCAAGAAATGTTACATGTTTTTATTTAAAACTCAAAAGCTTATTTTCATGTGTGGAGAGGTTACATTTGAAAAAAGAACCTTCTCTATGAATAGTGGTCATTTCACTGTCAAAACATGCTTTGTTGTTTCAGATTACAAACCGAATATCTCTGCAGACATTCCCAGACCAATCTCAGCTCTTTGATGTCCATTAGCTTATGTCATTCCTAAAATATATGTGACATATACAACTTGGAATTAGATTAAGGTCATTGTTTGCAGATTTGTGGACTGGGAGGGGACCAGCGAGGTGTGTTACCTACGGGTTCTCCATTCTCCTCTGTCCAGGATAAGAATAAAGGCGCAGTCAGATTGCTCTTGCCTCCTTAATCAACTCCAATAGTGAGATAACAACAATCTACCATCATAAAGTAAATGTATATGAAAGTTGCTAAAAGAACTGCCATCTTTTAATGTAGATATTTTCTTCCCTGAGCAGTGAAGGGTAAAGAGAGATGGGAAAGGACTGTAAGTAAAGTGACATTCTTTTAACAGAAAGAGGAAAAATTATTTGAATTAACAAAAACAGATATGTTGTAGAGTGTTTTACATAAAATCATTTCTGCAGAAATGTATACTACGACAAACTATTCCTTAATAAATTATTACCAAGGAAATCCAAGTCAGAGTGAATAGTCCTTTTATGACCAACACATGAATTATTTGCATGAAAAGGTGAGTGTTTGATAGTCTCTTGCCTACTCCATAATATTAATTGCCTTAAGAAGTCTTTTAAAGATATAAAGAATGCAAAAAAATCAAATGCATTAATAATAGGGTCATATTCTGCATTTTTTTAATGTCTGCCAAAGTACATAATGTGATGTCTTGGTCATGCTATCTCAGAGTGACCAAGGCAGTCTTCCCCAAACCTCCCAACAATAAATCCAAAGTCATTAGGCTATGTGTTTATATTGTTTTCCCCAAATTTGGCCTTTACAGTGGCATGTTGCATGCTTCAATAGTTCCAATTTCTCTCTCTCTCTCTCTCTCTCTCTCTCTCTCTCTCTCTCTCTTCTAGTAACTTTTAAAGTTGTTAGTGCTATATATACTCTTTGAAGGTTTAAATACATTGAAAATTTGAAAACTAAACTTGCTCCTATCAACTATAGGTGGGTCATAATTGTCATATAAATAACTACTTTAAATATGTAGTGGATGCAAGGTTTGGTTTTGTTAGTATTTTCTTTTTTATTTTTATTTTCAAATCAATGACATAATTTATAGAATCTGCTTATTGCCCACAGGAAGGCTTGAAGCCACCTCTGCATCCATATAAAAATGGATTTTAATAAACTCATAATCTCTAATGCTTGTTTGCATTATTTTTGGTTTCTTTATGCCTTTACACGTGCCTAGCTCTTTCTTCCTACCAAGATTTACTCTTCCCACTTCTCCATTTCCAATGTTGTTTTCTCTGGTTCTCTTTTCTCTTATTTTCTTACAATAATAAACACTCTCTGGAGTTGAAAATAAAATGTTTTATTTGTCTGACCTTCCAACGGTTTTGGGCTTCTTACAGAAAATGGCATATCTAAGATGCAGAGAGAACAAACTTGCAGATGATATTAATGTGGGTAGTGTCAAGGGTTGAAGTTCAACTCCTTTTATTTCTAGCTCAATGTCTAAGTATTGGAGGGAAAAGGAATCTAAGGCCAAGTACTTAACCTCACTTTTGACTTGGATATAATGGAAAAAAAACGCCCTGAGTAGTTCGTTTTGGAAAATGTACTATGATGGATGTCTGGAGTGGATAATAAGATCTCCTTATTATCATTTTATTACCAGAATGAAAAGATCAACTGTGTATTAGTTATCACCAATTTCTTACGTAGATCAAAGTGGAAAGCAATAAAAGATTGCAGAGTGTCAACTAGTGGCACTTAAGCCATGTTAGATTGCCTTCATCAGGCGGCCACTGGCAGCTACTTAAAAAGATGTGAGGACATTTCTGGGGGCTGGTCCTTGTTAACATGAAACAAATGTTCAGTTTGGAGCAGCTGCCTGGTACCTAAGAGCAAAGATGTGCAAACGGGAGTCTCCTGCCTCGGCTGCCACGCAGCAATCCATCACTTGGCTTGTAGGACTCCATCACTCATTGCCTCTCAGTGCCTGCTGCAATTTATCTGCCGAGGATA